AGATGACATCCAACTGTACATCTCCTTTAAGCCCCATGAGATGTCTAAGCTGCAGCTGTTACACACCTGCTTAGACTCTATCAAAACCTGGATGGCTGGGAGCTTTCTTCAGCTGAATGAAGATAAGACTGAGATCCTCATCTGTGCCCCAGACAAGCTGGTTCCAAAAGTCAGAGACTCTCTTGGTCAGCTTGCTTCCCACACCAAACCTTCCGTCAGGAATCTTGGCGTGACCTTTGACCCAGCTCTCACCCTGGATTCTCATGTCAATTCTCTTGTTCGTTCATCCTTCTTCCATCTCAGGAACATTGCTAAGCTGAGTCCCATTCTGTCTCGCTCTGAACTTGAGACAGTTCTCCACACCTTCATCTCCTCACGCTTAGACTACTGTAACTCTCTTTTCACGTGTCTGAGCTGAACCTCCCTGAACCGTCTACAGGTGGTTCAGAATGCCTGTGCTCAGCTTCTGACCAAGTCCTCCTAACACACCCACATCACCCCGCTTCTCCTCCAGCTTGACTGGCTGCCAGTCAACTTCAGGGTTCATTTCAAGATCCTAGTTCTGGTCTATAGGGCCTTACATGGACAAGCACCATCTTACATTCTTAGCCCCTACACCCCCAGCAGGTCCCTGAGGTCCAGTGATCAAAGCCTACTGGTTGTGCAGCACCAGGCTAAAGACCAAAGGTGACAGATCATTTGCTGCTGTGGCCCCCAGACTCTGGAACTCTCTCTCCCCCTGAGCCTGAGATCAGTGGACTCAGTGGTCTCCTTCAAAAAGCAGCGGAAGACTCACTTGTTCAAGCTGGCTTTTGTATGACCTTCTTCACCACTCTCTCTTTATTCTGCTCTCCCCACCTATTCCACCTTCCTCAGGATCCACTGATTTCCCTCTTTCCTATTCACTCTCTCTTAACATTTTTTCTTTTAAATCGCAATTGCTTATTCTTGCTCATTTGAAATATTTTTTTAAACATTTTCGAAATGCTTTTTTATATTTTTTCAATTTTTATATTTTTGTTTTTGTTTTTGTGAAGCGCCTCATGATTTTTATCTTGAGAGGCGCTATAGAAATGATATTTTCTTCTTCTTCTTCATTTGACAAGACAGAGCTGACATGCTGCATCAGTCACTTACTACCTCCGCTCCAATCGGGTTTTTTATTTTTTTAACTCCTTCTCTCTCCCTCTTACCCTCTCTATGTCTCTCAGACACACACACCTTAATCAACATTGTTTTGTTTAACTTTATGTGGGGCAAAATTCCGAGAATGTTAAGAAAAAAATCAGTTCAATCAAATTAAAATAAAAAATATATATGAAGTTGTGTCTGGTTCTAGCATTTCATATTTCCTAGTTCCTACTGCATGAGTTCAGATGTATTAATCCATTCACTTAAATATTAATGTTCTGATTTTATTGAAACACTTGTTCTGTAATAGTTCCTTTACTATTGTGATCAAACATATTTAATCTCAATTCTGAGGCTGCTCTGTAAATAGTTTTCAAATAAATACTATACATATCAACTTCTGATCATTCCATATCAATTTCAGACTTAAAATAATATATTGATGTAAACCACACCCACTTCCGGTTAAACCACGCCCACTTCCGGGGTATGCCACGCCCATTCCGAGTACAGATACAGATAATTTAGTTGGTTGAACAGAAACAGATACAGATACAGATAGAGGTGTACTCGCTAATCCCTAGAAGATAGTAAAGATGGAACAGTTGATTTAAAAGATGCAACAGCATTGTCAGATAGACACCGACCATAGTGAAATTTACTTTCATCTCTCGAGAACTCAGTTATAAAAAAGTCAAAGGTCTGAGACATTTGTCTGTTCTGACAGACAAATGTCAGATCTTTATACTGGTAAGAAATGTATTATCAAACATACTCACTTAGATAATTATTCAGTCAGAGTTACATCATACAATCCATTCGTTTCACTGATAAAGGAGCAGGCAGAACTATGAACTTGTTTAGCCCGTCCAAGTAGCATGGAATAAAAATGAATATGTTAAGATGAGTTTTTAAATATGTCTCTCTGGAACAATAGACTATTGTCCTGAGGCTTGCACAATGGCATGCTTAGCAGCTAGCTAGTGAGCTAACGTCTGGTTAAAACCAACTTAAAAGTGGCTTAACTTACAGATTAACTTAGATAAGATAAAATATACCGTAAATCCTCTAATATTTGCCTGTATTTAATTAACGGCCGGGTATCACATTTTGGCCGGTGTCGGAGTCGGCGGAGGTGAATAATGGCCGTTTTTTTTATTGTGGCCGGGTGGAATGTGGTAACAAGCAAGTACGGGGGGCGGTTGTGTCATCCGCCTCACTTTTGATTTGCCAGTGATAGACCGCGAGGGTAACTTTAACTGTGCGGAGACGAAGAGGAGGCGAAAATTTGATATCAAGTTCAAAGACAACGTGCTGATTATGCTGCAGAACACTCTGGGGAGCAGTAGCGGGGGTTGTATGAACTAGTCACTAGTCGACTTCACCGCTCTATAGTGACTTTTTATGCCTCTCATCGACTAGTCGCTGTCACGTGATAATGACCGGCAAGATGCAGTCCTCAGAAAAGACATCAGCCTGCTGTCAGCAGGTGACAAGCTCCTGCACGTCGGGAGGCAACGCACTGTGCCAGAGCATCGGTACTGACAGCCGCCATAAAACAGACATTTAACCAAATTGTGACCTTTACCCTCTTGCAATTTAACCTTCCCCTCACCCCCATCCTAACCTTAACCAGCTTGCGCATGCAAAGCTCTGATTGTTGACGCGCTCCAGACATCTGTGTCCTGAGCTCGGCCACAGTAACATTATCAAATCATGTGTCGCCACCTCAAAAACTAATTTAACACGCGATCGTTCATGTCGGGTCATTTTCTTTTATGTTTTCTGTCTTTTATTCTTTTATTTGTGCCTGATGCGTTTCGCTGCTGTGGATCGGGGCGCATCACCTGTTTTGTCCTCGGTGACGCACCTAACTGATGTGGCTGGCAAGCAGCGCGCACTCCACTGTTTTTGCGGTCGGTAGATCTTTTAGAACTGCAGTTCAAAGGTAACTCATGAGGTGAATATATATGAACCCATGTAGCAGTTTTTCTTTAGGATTGAGAGGAGATACAGGAAGATAATAAACAGACAGGACAGAAAAATTGTCGAATAAAAACAAGTTAGTTTTTGTACCTGCTGGTTGCAACAAACAGACACCATTGAAGGTCATCAGAAGTGAGGAACAGAAAATGAAATAATTATTTTAATGTTTAGAGAGCAGCAGGAACTCCGAGAGGCTGCAGGCGCATCAGTGAGTTTGCGGCCGCTGCGCAGGGGGAGGGGGGAGATGGCTGAAGTAGAAACTACTGTTGTTAAAAGAAATGTGTTTAACTTTGAAAATGTGGGCGCAATTTTAATTGTCAAAAACTCCAGCGAACCAACCGAACTCAAATGGAAATTGAGGCCTGCCTCTAATTCTGGTCCTCCTTCCAATAAAGGCCTGGAGCTTGATGAGCTTGAGTCGAATACAGACCCGGGCCTGTATTAGAGGATTTACGGTATGATCAATACTCACTTTAGATCCTTAGTAGACATGACATACAGCAGAATAACGTGTTTGGGGCTCAAAACTCATGTTGTTGACGGAGGTGGGGAAAAAATAAAGTCTTGGAGGCTATGTCACTTCCGGGTCACTGAACTGTCACTCAAGAGAAACCACTGTCCCATGGGAGAGGACTTCTCAGAAGTCCCACCCACCCAAAAGGGTTGTGTGTGGTATTGCCTGCCCTCCCGGACGAAAACAAAGTGACTTTATTCGAGAAGTTACATTTTGTTGTGAGCAAATGCACTTCATACATTTGGTGGCGGCTGTACAAAAGGCCCCATAGTTGTGAGTTCTCCTTTCTATTCTGCTCAGTTGTTCACCTGTAGTTGCTTAGAGTGACCTGTAGAGGTCACCCCACCATTTTGGATGGGAGAGGTTTTGGACAGGTGGATATGTGGGTGAGATCTATATGAGTGTGTTCGCTCCCGCTTACCAGCAGAGAAGTGGTCATTTTGTGAGAAGTGTGCGTTACTGAGCAACGTAAGTCTGTGATGTGTGAGGATGTACGGATAAAATGTGTTTGTGACTGTAATCGAAGTTAGAGGGAAATGATGATATTTCTGTTTGTGTCGCTAGCGAGTGCTAAGCCCCAAACATGGCAAAAAAAATGATAATTTCCCTTGCCAAAAATTGATTACAGTGTCCTGGTTACCTGTAAAGGGTTAAATTGACCTAAATATTACTTTATTTATTATCTCTTGATGTTATTAGTCCCATCACAGGATGCTGGGTCTCTTCCACATTCATAAACACCCCTTTCTGTATTACTTTCTGTAAAGTAATATTTAGGTCAATTTAACCCTTTGATAGAATATTCAAATACTAAAATATCTGATAGCTGCTGCCCTAAAAATCCTGTTGAAAGCTCAATGTAGAAATTCTTGGTTTGGTAACCATAGGAACATATGACACAAACCTCAGTAAACTCCATATGTGTGTGTGTGTGTGTGTGTGTGTGTGTGTGTGTGTGTGTGTGTGTGTGTGTGTGTGTGTGTGTGTGTGTGTGTGATTTTCTATAGTTTTGGACTAAATCAAAGCATATTAGTGACTTCAGTTGAAAGAAATTACAAACCAGCCTGGCTTATTATTTATTAACACGACTGTCACATATATTTCTGGCCTAGCAGGTCCTGTTTAAACTTACAATCACTGCAAAACTTTATTTTTCTTTTATTTCTGTTTAACTTACACATCACTTTTCCTTTTCTACCCGTGGTTAGTGTTTTTTCTCTTTTTGTCCAAATCCCTCCTAGATGAGGATGCACCTCCTCTGTAGTTCTGCTTAGTCATGCTCAGGAATGGTGTGCATTAGTGGTTTGGAGCAGGGCGGTGACTGAAGGCTGCATGTGATTGGCTGGGCGAAGGGAGGCGGGCTATTTTCAGTTAAACATCTGGAGTTGTTTTACTCCACTCAGTCTTTCACAAACTTGGTGAAGCTGATGAAGAGCAAAGACAATAAAATGTCCTTCATTGAAGTGGATGCAGATTGTGATTTCTCTTTCCAGAACCTTCCTTATGGAGTTTTCTCCACGGCTAATAATGTAAGTGTTTCTATTTTTGACAAATAGAGAATCTGAGGGACCAAAGTTCAAAGTTCATGATCCTGATTATTGGCTTTTCGCTTTGTTTTGATAAAGATGTGAGTTGATGGGTGAAAGATGCATAAAAGAGGCTACACAATTAAAGATGCAATAAAAACATCTGTCAGCGACAGGGCTGTGAGGTGCTGCAGGAAGGCTGAAGGTCTGAGACCTTCCTCACCTGATGACCCCTGCAGCTCCCTATCAGCCTGAAGTACATACATGTTAGAGTTCACTGAAATGGTAAAACGTCACTTATCGGTGACCAGAGAGAGATCCAAAAACATCTGCATGTTTCATTTGAAGCTCACACCAGAAACGTGTCCCGAGTCACGGAGACCAACCTCAAGTGCTTTCATCTGTAAACGCTGCCCAGGTTGACCTGCATGACATGATTCTGTCCCACCTCACAGTGTGTCAGTGACTGGTGTGTTGTAAAGCACCTTGGGGGGTTATACTCTAGAAGATGGTTAGGGTTCGGCACAAAGCATTCGCTAAAATGAATGGAAGTCAATGACGGTCCACACAACGAATGCTAGATTAGAGTGAGTGTGTGTGTGTGTGTGTGTGTGTGTGTGTGTGTGTGTGTGTGTGTGTGTGTGTGTGTGTGTGTGTGTGTGTGTGTGTGTGTGTGTGTGTGTGTGTACATTGGTTGTGTATTAACTCAGTAGTTACATTACCAGTCCACTAGTAGCACCACTTTGGTGTTGCTCCCACTGAGAGGCACCGAGCGGGGGTGCCCACACCAATTGCCCCCCATCTTGATGCCTGTATGTTGGGGTTTACCACGATGAATAAGAGGGTAACTACCCTCCGTCTACCTGTGGGGGGACAGGCCCTGACTGTGGTTTGTGCTTATGCACCAGTCAGCACTTCAGACTACCCACATTTTTGAGACCTTTGAGCAGGGGGCTGGAGAAACACCCTCGTTGTGCTGGGGCCCTTTAACGCTCATGTGAGCAACGACAGTGAGAGCTGAAGAGGTGTGTTCGGGATTAACGGCCCCTCTGTTCTGAATTCGAGGGGTGTTTTGCATGTGGGGCAACAGTGGCACAGGAGTCATATTGTCATATTCTGTTCAAAAAGGAGTAAGAGGAAGCAGGTGCTTATTAAATCCTTTTAGGCCGGCCCCCCAAAAAAAATAAATAAATAAAATGCAGTTTTAAGCAGTTTTTCAGAGTTTTCATATTTCAACAACAGAATGACAGCAAAAGTACTAGTAACATTTTTAGAACCATTAGTTTACTTTGAATATTTTTTCAATGGGATGTTGTTTTTAGTGGAAAATTTATTTAAAGAGCAAGTCACCCTCTGCAGAGTCTTACTCCACTCCCGCTTCCCGTTTGAAAAATGCAACAAATGCTGTTGCCTGGCAGATCGAGAGGGCGGAGCCACTAACAAGTACACACACAGGCTCGCAACAACATTGTGACATCATAATGTACCAGCTAAAGTCATAGTGTATCTCTTAGCCAATAGCGATGGCATATTTCAATTCAAATGCAGTGCAGAGTTTTTACTTGACGACTGTGCACCACTGACAGTTTTAGGCAGAATATTTAAATATGGACTAAGATGCACTAAAGTGCCAAATTATTAACTCCACGTCTACAGCACGATTAAACACTCATTTATAGAAATGATCAGCAAACAAAAGTAGATTTGGGGGTGACTTGCTCTTCAAGCTATTTTTTGCCATTTAGTCTTCTTAATTTATAAATGAAAAGTTTATTTCTTTTCCAAAATGACAACAAATCTGTCAGAAAATATTCAAGGGAGAAAAAAAACATCACTTACTGTAAAGGCATTGGCCAGGCTCGGCATTAGAATAGTAAAAAATCAGTATAACTACACTTTACCATCTATATAAACATGTACTGGGTTCAGTTTTTTATTTTGTTAAGGACTTTTGTCATAAATCATTACAGAAAATCCAAATCCTCTCCTCCAGACAGTGAAGAACTGTGTTTTGCATACGTCACTCCAGCACGTAAAACAAGCTAGCTTAACTGTATTTGTGTGTATTTTAAGAAGGTGACCTGAGGGTGTGTTCAAACTACAGGGGGATCACACTCCTCAGCCTCCCTGGAAAGGTTTACTCCAAGCTACTGGAGAGGAGGGTACGATCGATAGTTGAATCTCAGATTGAGGAGGAGCAATGTGGTTTTCGTCTTGGCCGTGCAACTGTGGACCAGCTCTATACCCTTGCAAGGGTGATGGAGGGGGCATGGGAGTTTGCCCAACCAATCCACATGTGTTTTGTGGATTTGGAGAAGGCTTATGACCTTGTCCCAAGGGGCACCCTGTGGGGGACGCTCCAGGAGTATGGGGTGGGTGGCTTTCTGTTAAGGGCCATTCAGTCCCTTTACCAGAGGAGCGTGAGTTTGGTCCGCATAGCCGGTAGTAAGTCGGACCTGTTCCCGGTGAGGGTTGGACTCCGCCAGGGCTGCCCTTTGTCACCGGTTCTGTTCATTACCTTTATGGACAGAATTTCTAGGTGCGGCCGTGGTGTGAAGTGTGTCGAGTTTGGTGGCAGGAGAATCTCGTCTCTGCTTTTTGCGGATGATGTGGTCCTCCTAGCTTCATCCAGCTCTGACCTTCAGCTCTTGCTGGGTAGGTTCGCGGCCGAGTGTGAAGCGGCTGGGATGAGGATCAGCACCTCCAAATCTGAGACCATGGTTCTCGACCGGAAAAGGGTGGCTTGCCAACTCCGGGTCGGGGGAGAGGTCCTACCTCAAGTGGAGGAGTTTAAGTATCTCGGGGTCTTGTTCACGAGTGAGGGTAGGAGGGATTAGGAGGTTGATTTGCAGACTGGTGCTGCATCAGCAGTGATGCGGGTGTTATATCGGTCTGTTTTGGTGAACAAATTTACTAGTCAATCTACGTTCCTACCCTCACCTATGGTCACGAGCTTTGAGTAGTGACCAACAGAATGAGATTGCAGATACAAGCGGCCGAAAGGATTTTTCTCCGCAGGGTGGCTGGGCTCTTCCTTAGGGATAGGGTGAGAAGCTCAGTCATCCGGGAAGAGCTGGCAGTAGACACATCGAGAAAAGACAGTTGAGCTGGCTCGTACATTTGGTCAGGATGTCTCCTGGAAGCCTCCCTGTTGAGGTTTTCTGGGCACGTCCAACCGGGAGACCTAAAGTGAGACCCAGGACACACTGGAGGGACTATCTCTTGCCTGGCCAGGGAACGCCTCGAGGTTCCCCTGGAAGATCTGGCCCAACTGCCTAGGGAGAGGGAAGTCTGGGCCTCTCGACTTAGGCTTTTGCACCTGCGACCCGACTCCGGATAAGCAGAAGAGAATGGGTTGATGGATGGGGTCAACTCCGTCTGTCCTTGTGGGCCTGCTGGAGAGCCCTCGCAAAGACGGATAATGGTGATGCGTGTCTCCGCACAAAAGCATAAATTAGGCTTTAGGGTTCACCTTTCCAGCACCCGTAATGCAGCTTTGAATCTCAGTCCTAAGCAGTTTTAGTCTAGGTCATACCTTCCTGCACCTAATACACAAAACTCCCTGACAATAGAGGCTAACAACTCCTCAGGTGGCAGGAGTATTAAGAGTATGTTCTGCTTATTAAGCAACAATAGACAGACAAAGCTCCTCACGTGAGAAGCGGAAACTTCTTCAAGAAACCAAAGTCCAGTGGCTTTCATTTGAACCCCTTTGGACTTGCACATATTGTACACGAGAACAGTCATTTTATTTCTTTTACGTCTAACTGTCTTTTTTAAAATTTTTATTTAGTTTGTTTTTATCTTATCTGTCGGTGTAAAGCTACTTATGTGTCTGTTGGTGCTGCCTCTTGTCCAGATCTTTGTATATCAGAATGGGTTCTGAATCAACTCATCTGGTTAAATAAAGGTTAAATAAGCAATCAAGTTGACACTTCAGCAGTGTCACGTGATCAGAGAAGCTTACGTTGATTGGCTCAAAGCCACTCAACTTGATCAAGTGATGATTGCTTATGTTTGGTTCAGCAGGAATTCCCCTCATTTGTTGTTTATCTTGAAATGTCTATTATGAAATTCAGTTGTTGAAATTTTGCAGCTGAATTTTTACTAGTATATATGTAGGAGCCAATATTGTTTTGGTTTAGATTATCTTATGGTCTAAGTTTATTTTGATAATGTTTTATGTACATTTCAGTTTATTGCACTATGGTTTGTATTAGGGCTGTCGCGGTTGAGGAATTCCCCCTGCGGTGAGTCAGGGCAGCTCAATATTGCGGTATGCGATATTATTGCACCCCGTTTTTATTTATGTACTTAGCAAATTTGTTTGTTAATTACTAAACTCATGGCAATATTTCCTTTGAAACATTGTGCTTACACATTTAAAAAATGTTAGAAAAAATACATGGCCATTTTTGACACTTTATTAAATGCAGATCGAAGGGCAGTAACGGCATTCTCTGACTGAACTTAAAAACAACATTCAGGAGGTTTAACTTTGAAATGCAAATTTGGCTTCAACATCTAACAAAATGAGATGTCCCAGGCACTGTCAGTTCACTTTCACACACAAGAATAACGCCGGGGACACACCGGCCGCGGAAGCGCCGAGAAGCGAATCGCTCACGAAATTCGTTCGCTGCTCGCCGTTTCTCAGTTCAGATCAGACGCTTAGAATAGCTTAACAAGGGCGCCGAATGAAGGCGGTCCCATTTTCGCGGCGCTTCCGCGGCCGGTGTGTCCCTGGCGTAACTGTGATTTATAACTCGGTCATGTCCTTGTTACGCGCAAGGAACACCAGCATGTTAACCTTATGCGGTTTGAGAGAGGATCTGAGAGGGGTGACAACATTTCCAGCGACACTAAAAACCCTCTCGGATGGTGCGCTTGTTGCGCAAATACACATGTACTTACATGCGACTTTGGAGAGCAATGGAAATCTCTCGTGGTTGTTGCGCCACCATGTCAGAGGGTTTTCATTAGGGTCAATGGGTTCCTCCTGCAGGTAGCGAGTGAGCTCCAGCTCGGCTCTAACTCTCTTCGGGACAGTTGCAGAAGACGTCCTTGTCCGTGACTTCAGCAGGTCTCTAAGCGTTTTTTTCTTTGCCGCTGGTGGCAGCACTGCCTGCTCCAAGGTCTGGCTGGGCTGCAGCTGATGCACTGACACCGCTCCCTCCATCTTCCATGTGTACTATCTCCTCGATCAGCGCGGACTTTTCCTCTCAGCATGCGCTGTCGCGAGATTTAATCAAGTGCGGTAATGGCGGTGGCACGTCATGCAGCGCGGTGGGTTTCTTAATATCGCGATATTTTCTTCTTGCGGTTACCGCGACAGCTCTAGTTTGTATTTCCTTTGACCACTGGTGGCACTGCGGAGCCTATAAAGGTGTTGAGGTGGCAGTGCACTGGCGTTTTCTGGGTGACGGGAGGTCACACGGTTTTTACCGCTTCGTTTGGTTCCATATGCCACATCTAATTTGCCGTTATAATTTTCATCATTTACATAAACCTGGACAAGAAATAGCCATTGTGGACCCAGCTTGTGATCATCATCATATTCAATAAATGGGACAATAAACCCAAACCCGCTTTCTGCCTGGACAATATTGTTGAAGCGAGTCATTGCCTCCACCCGCACCCGAAGGTGACTAAAAGTGGGATTTGATAGTCACTACAATATATATATATATATATATATATATATATATATATATATATATATATATATATATATATATATATATATATATATATATATGTATATATATATATATATATATATATATATATATATATATATATATAATTCCTGGTCTCCATACATTTGTTTGTTAATTTATGTTTTTGTGCATTTCCTCAGCCCAAACACAGAATCGGTGTTGCAATTGGGAAAGAGATTCTGGACCTGAGTGTTATAACATCTCTGTTTGTGGGACCTGTGATGTCCAGACACCAGGATGTTTTTGACCAGGTAAGTTGAGTAACCAGCCATTTTACAGGACATCTGCAGTTTTTATTACACTACCAACATTATTAAAACTACACACCTGTGGAGGAATACAATGACGACACAGGAGTTAGGTTTGATCACATCTTGACTCCAACTGACACAGAACAGAACACAAGACAACACCCCCTCCATGGACACCCCCAAATGTGCCTCTCACATGTACACATGAACATGGGCTTCCTACCTGTGGTGGATGTGGGTGTTTTAACAGCCACACTCTTTCTAATGAGGAGGTTAAACACACACATTTCCTGTAGTTTAGCTCAGAAACGTTACTACCAGTCTGGTCCCTTTGTGTTTCTCTCACTGTGTTTGTCCTCTCCCCCTCCCTCTCCTGTTGCTAATTCAAACACCCTCCTCTGTGCAACGGTGTTACGTCAGTATTCCGGTTGGTTCCGTTTTTGAAACGCGTTTCTCTACCGCACCGCCAGAGCGGTAAAAACGCACATGCTCATTACAATCTCGCTCCCGTGGTGCGCTCTGGTTTTGGTTTAATACGAGCCACAGATCTACCGTATTTTCCGGACTGTAAGTCACACTTTTTTTCATAGTCTGGCTGGACCTGCGACTTATACTCCGGAGCGATTTATATACCAAATTATGTAGGCTATACCACGCTGCTTTGGACTGGCTCCGGACCAGGAATAAGCTCCCCTGCCCTGCTGGGAATTAAAGACGCACCGCCATCACCTGCTGGAAACTGTGGCGCGCTGCTGGTGGTTGGTTCCAGTCCAGGTTTCAGCTCCTCTGCCCCGCCATCACCTGCTGGAGCCTGTAGTGCGCTGCTGCGGGCCGGGCGGCTCCAACCCAGGAATGAGCTCCCCTGTCCCGCTGGGAGGGTTTCAAATACCGCCATCCTCTGCTGGAGACTGTGGTGCGCTGCTGCGCCCGTGTTGTTTATTCTGTTATTGTTACCGGTACTTGTCTTGCAATGTGAAATTAAATTTCCCCCCAAAATGGGACTTATAGTCCAGTGGGACTTATATATGTTTTTTCTTCTTCATTATACATTTTATGGCTGGTGCGACTTATACTCCGGAGGGACTTATAGTTAGGAAACTACGGTACGTTGTGTTTATTCATGAAAACTTTGTAGAATGTAGTCACATTTAATAAACGCCTATAGAGCCTGCTCTCGTGTCACAATGACAGTTAATGGGATGAGCAGTTCCTGTCTAACGGGGACGTCGGGCAGAACCAGGACCCAGCTGGGGAAATTCCCGGTGGCCCTATTTGATTTCGGTGTTTCCTGTTGTTTTTTCGGGCCGGTGTTACTCTGTAGATCATCCTGCTGCTGATGAGAGGATTTCTCCTGTCAGGACCAGGTGAGCTGCTGCCAACCCTAACCCAACAAGCTTCTGTTCACAGAAACACGTTTTAGCCCAGACTGTAGTGACCTGTTATTTATAGTTTTATAATTAACCCTTTGATGCATAATGGTCACTACAGTGGACAGGTACTCAAAATTGTTATGTATTTGTTTTTGCTATTAAGCACAGCTGTTGAAGACTTTATTGCATTTGAGCCCCTCCATTTGGACTTCAGTAAGCCAAGCCAACATATTTCATGTTCTGAATGTACGCTGTCCACTGAGGTGGACATGTAATAAATTATTTGTGAATTATAAAATTTTACAAAAAATATTTGTTGAAATTTGTTTCATTCACACCTAAAGATGAATGAAAAAAAGTTAAACAATCATGATTGAAGATTTCATAATTCATGCATCAAAGGATTAATATTAAGTGAACGCACTAAACCCACAGGTGATGGAAAATAAGATTAAATAGCTCTGAATATTTTCTCCCACAGCTCAGCTCTGTTAGAAATAAGCAGATGTCTGCTTCAGCTGGATGATGTCACATATAAAAGTGTTCACAGATAACTGATCTTTAATGAAAAAAACAATGTGAATCATTTTTAATTTTAATATTGACTTTATTTCATTTCTAAAGTCTGGATGCCTGTGAACATTACTGAATGTTCTGATTGGTGTAAATAAAACATACACAGGTCCTTCTCAAAAAATTAGCATATTGTGATAAAGTTCATTATTTTCTGTAATGTACTGATAAATATGAGCCTTTCATATATATTAGATTCATTACACACAACTGAAGTAGTTCAAGCCTTTCTAATATTGATGATTTTTGCATACAGCTCATGAAAACCCAAAATTCCTCTAAAAAATTAGCATATAATGAAAAGGTTCTCTAAACGAGCTATTAACCTAATCATCTGAATCAACTAATTAACTCTAAACACCTGCAAAAGATTCCTGAGGCTTTTAAAAACTCCCAGCCTGGTTCATTACTCAAAACCACAATCATGGGTAAGACTGCCGACCTGACTGCTGTCCAGAAGGCCATCATTGACACCCTCAAGCAAGAGGGTAAGACACAGAAAGACATTTCTGAACGAATAGGCTGTTCCCAGAGTGCTGTACCAAGGCACCTCAGTGGGAAGTCTGTGGGAAGGAAAAAGTGTGGCACAAAACGCTGCACAACGAGAAGAGGTGACCGGACCCTGAGGAAGATTGTGGAGAAGGACCGATTCCAGACCTTGAGGGACCTGCGGAAGCAGCAGACTGAGTCTGGAGTAGAAACATCCAGAGCCACCGTGTACAGGCGTGTGCAGGAAATGGGCTACAGGTGTCGCATTCCCCAGGTCTAGCCACTTGTGAACCAGAAACAGCGGCAGAAGCACCTGACCTGGGCTACAGAGAAGCAACACCGGACTGTTGCTCAGTGGTCCAAAGTACTTTTTTTGGATGGAAGCAAATTTTGCTTGTCATTCGGAAATCAAAGTGCCAGAGTCTGGAGGAAGACTGGGCAGAGGGAAATGCCAAAAGGCCTGAAGTCCTGTGTCAAGTACCCACAGTCAGTGATGGTCTGGGGTGTCATGTCAGCTGCTGGTGTTGGTCCACTGTGTTTTATCAAGGGCAGGGTCAATGCAGCAGCTATCAGGAGATTTTGGAGCACTTCATGCTTCCATCTGCTGAAAAGTTTTATGGAGATGAAGATTTCATTTTTCAGCACAACCTGGCACCTGCTCACAGTGCCAAAACCACTGGTAAATGGTTTACTGACCATGGCATTACTGGGCTCAATTGGCCTGCCAACTTAATGGCAGAGTGTGGGTGTGTAGAAGGTGGGAAGTGATCTAAAAACACCCGAGCACATTTCTAGGAAGAGTGTGTTTTATAAAGCAGGAGTTACATGCAGCCGTGTTCTCACAGTTTCATAGGTTGGAAAATTAATTTGATACAGTACAGGCCAAAAGATTAGACACACCTTCCACTTAAATGTGTTTTCTTTATCTTCATGACCATTTACAAAGGGGCCAACACCTTTGGGAACTCCTTCACGACTGTCGGAAAACCATCTCAGGTGACTGCCTCTTGAAGCTCATCAAGAGAAAGCCGAGTGTAAAGCAGTCATCAGAGCAAAGGGTGGCTATTTAGAAGAAAATAGAATAAAAAACATGTTTTCAGTTATTTCACCATTTTGGTTAAGTACGTAATCCTCATGTGTTCATTCATAGTTTTGATGCCTTCAGTGAGAGTCTCCCAATGTAAATGGTCATGAAGATAAAGACAACACATCTGATGAGAAGGTGTGTCCAAGCTTTTGGCCTGTACAGTATGTATATTTGTTTTGCTGAGCTTATGTAGGATTTTATAGAGATTCTAGGCTGTATAAGTCATTCTAAGTTGTATGAATGTGGCCCCTGGACTACTGATTTTAAACTTAACAGATCTTAACAGGTTCCGTTGGTGAGTAATGATGCCTTTGTCTCTTTTGAAGCCCACACTGAATGCTTTCATGGCTCTTGGCTATGAGGCCTGGAAGGAGACTCGGAGGACTTTACAAGCGTTGCTGTCGGTAAACAACAGCACCCTGAGGGATGACGTCAGCCTACGGACAAGGTCAGTCTGGGTAAAATATCACAAAGAAAAATATCATCTGGATGACAACCACCAGAAAACTGCATGGGGTCGCTCATTTTTATCACTGAACTAATTTTTCTTCAGTGTTAGGATCAATAATATCACCTTTTAAAAACATCATGAAGCATTTTATTACTGCTCTGAACCATCGACATACAAATATTGGACAATGGGTTTCCATAGACTCCAATAACACGTTTTTGAGGAGAAATGGGAGGTGGCCACCACCGCCATTTTGACCTTGTCACAGGTTCCGTCAAGCCCAGACAATTCTACAAAAGGGAAGAGAGGTGGAGCTGAGGGTGGGGCTGTAAGGCTGGGATCAACTGACAACACGCGGTCCAACTAGCTACAAGCTAACCTGAAGCTAACCCAAAGCTAACGCGGAGGTGGGAGCTAAGCTAATGGAGGTAGCAACCTAGCTACAACCGGAGTTAACTGTGCACAACACCAGAGCTTCGGAGTCAGAGATACGCCGGGCTGACCGCTGGGTAAAACCGGGTGGAACACAGAGGTCTCCGAGAGCTCCACAAGCCGGCAGCCGCACAGAGACAAGCGCCGCTGCGATCTGAGATGTGCAGAGCTGCCGCTGGGGAGAACCAGGTGGAAAGGTTTCCATCCCAGAGCTCCACAAGCCGATAGTCGGAACCCAGCTCCACCAACATGTTGTATTTCAACCCATTTTCTAAAGTGCAGCATTATGTTAAATGCACTGGGTTTTACCCTATTACATTTAAATTTCATGGTTAAACAGTACATGTTATAATCTAAACTCAGCTCGGCAGTGACCTAAAATGCATGAATATAATTTTACTTACTGAAAATAATGAAGTGGAGACTCCTTGGACGCTCTATTAGTGCAATTAATGCCACAGCAAGTCATTTTGTCCAACAATTGCACAAAAAATATCCAAACAAGAATACACACACACAGAGACTCAAAATCCCGGAACAGTTTCCAGGCCAGACCGAGGCTCTACTGAGGCCTTTCCACAGAGCTAGCTCTGTGGTCACGTGGGTCGGATGCTCATTAATTACACAGAATTTTAGGCTTTTAATACACTTAAACAGAAGAGTGAGAAAAAAATTCACCCCCCTCAGAGTTGTCATGAGTGTAAACTAGATCATTTAAACCAAAAACATGTTTTGGTACCAGGCTGTAAACGTGTTTATTTCTGCTGTGAAATTGGTATTTTTAACATGGGAGTCAATGAGGATTTGCTCGCTTCTGTGTGTGTGTGTGTGTGTTTGCATATGTCTGTTAATGTTTTTAAACTGTTTCAGGAATTTGGGGTCATTATGTAAAGCACTTTGAGTAGCACTTTTTTTGAAAAGCACTTTATAAATAAAATCTGATTGATTGATTGATTGATTGATTGATTGATTGATTGATTGATTGATTGATTGATTGAAACCAGGCCTGTATAACCAACATCACTCAGTCTTCTTTAGAAGTGCGTCTTCATTCACCTGCAGCCTCTGAGATCAGAAATGGGGATCCGTACTGCAACCTGAGCAATTAATCCGCGTATTTCCAGTAGGACACATTTGCCCCAAAATTTGTGTAATAATCAGATTTTTATTTTCACGAAATGACTATTTTAAATTAAATATAAAAAAGAAACAGGAAAGGCTTGCCATCAAATTTAAAAGCCAGGCAGGATGGCTCGCTGGCTGCTTCCAGGCGAGCGACCTTCAAATGCGTCACGAGCTACCGGTAGCTTGTGTGTGACGCTTTGGACACCCCTGCTGTAAAGTCTTTGACACAATGCAGTCTGCTGAGTTTCCTTATATAGGAAACATTTAATGAACTGAACTCAATGCATTAATAACTAGGTTCAATTGGAAGGGGTGGGGGTGCGGGGGTGCGGGTGCGGGGGTGGGGGGTTATGGTACAACTGTTCCAATGCTTTTAAATTGTTGTGGGAGGGATGGGAAAGAGGGTCATGTAGGGTCATATTAATATGTAAAGCTATTCTGTGTAGGAGAAGCACTTTATAAATAAAGTTTGATTGACTGATTGATTGGTTGTTTATTTTGAATATAAATCTACAGTTTTGCCCTTGCTTAGTAAGGTATTTCCTCTTTTTTCTGTCTGCAGGGCTTTCGTTCATCAAAGTGATGCCACCATGCACCTTCCTGCAGACATCGGTGAGCCCCTGCTCTTTGGAAACCTGCTAGCATGTTTGACATGGGCTGTGTCTAAATCCAGGGGTAGGATGCTTGTGAATACACATTTTATGGGGATGACGTTTCAGCAAAGTGACCGGTGCTTTCTGAATTCCAAGGATCATCATGCGTCCTCGTTCCACCTGAATTTAGAGGATGGGTCTAAAAATGCACGTTACCATGTAGTATTATCATGTAGAAAATTATTATCAACCTAATACATTTTAAATTTTGAATACAGTAAAGTATAAAGTCAGGAAGGAGGCCGAGGACTAGTGAGTGTGAGAGCCACTGTCTAAGATCCATCAGTACACAGATGTCTTTAAATTGCAGGGGCCCTATTGCAAGATGATGTTCTGGGGCCTCTATCTTGTAAAACTACCTCCATACATAGATCATTATCCCCGGACTGCAGCCGAAACCCGTTGAGGGTGGTTCATCCCATCCCAAACCAATGAAATAACAAATGGCAAAACCACCTCTTTCAATCGTAATGGAATTACATTCGGATCAGGCCGTATCAGATTAGAAAAATCCGATTGACATGTTTACATGACGAATTTTTGATCTGATAGGGCATTCATTCCGGTTACTTCTGCCCATGCAAATGTAGCTAATGTGAGAACTTCAGAAAGGTCGCACACTGTACAAGCAAGATTTCTGAGTCAGACCGCACGACGTCCCACTCCAGCAGGACAAGCTACGTCCTTCCCGTATTTCCCGTAAGCATACGCCACTAAGCAGACAGCTAACCAAAACAAAGCTGAAAAGATTTAAAAAACGCTTCCATTAACAGTTTTTTTAGAATCAGCTGGCACAGCTCGTCTTCCTCAAAGAGGAAGAATAATTTTCAAACCACTCACTTAGGAGTAAGACGATGGCTGGGGGTCTCCTTTTCCCATCTTCCCTTTTAACCTGTTTAACCCTAATGCCCCCCAATTGGGGCCTTTACAGTTTCATGTCCCAGACGTCATCTACAACTGTCCACATTCTCCAAACAACTAAAACCACAGTCAAACAGCCCAGATGGCAAACAAGGCCATTCTCAATTGTAATAAATTAAGATAAAATGATATCTGAACTTTATTTTACAAGAGCATCTGGCCTTCACTGGTGTCTGCTGAAAAAAAAAACCTTGAATAAATGTAGTTGAGGACCCCTGGAATAAATAAAACAACTGACTAAATTTCCTAAATGGAATTTGAACTCACAACCTCCATCCTGTCAGCACGTTCACACAGGGCAGCTCTTCAAGTATTATTTCATCTTAATGTATCAAAAACCAAAAATTGCTTTGTTTACAATCTAACCTGGTTTGATTGTAGCTGTAGCCGTGCTCGGGGAATGCAAACCATCACTGACACTTGGGACATGAAACTCCAAAGGCCCCCAGTTGGGAGGCGCCAGGGCCCAAAGAAAAAAGGCCCAGGGCCTAAAGAGCTAAACAGCTGATCTGTCTGCGGAACATTCATTCTTCTCATCCTTCTTTATACATAAAAACCCCACTAAACTATAGAGAAGTAACTATCTGCCACAAATTGCTCCAATATCTATCTAAACTTTTGCTGTAAATGTCTCACTGTGTAGTCTGCAGCTCCGCTCAATGACAGATCATCACACCCGCTGTCACCGAGCGCAGCTTCCTCCGTCCCTCTGCAGTAAAACGCTACTGAACCATCCTTATCAGTTGAATATGTGAGATTTCCACCAACAGCAAAGGGATCTCATGTTTTTGTGTTTTATTTTTTTGTTTGTGAGCTCATCTCCTCTCAGCTCTCACAGTCACGGTTTTCCCAATTTATCTGATGGTCTAAAAATGTGGTTAATTATTTCAGTATAACTCTGGTTTAACTTGGGCTTTTGGCCCCCCAATAAACCTGGTGTGTAAGCCGCATTTTAAACATAGATTGAAACCAAAGCTCAGAGAGTGGGAGTCTTGCTGCTGCGGCATCAAGATGCAAAACCCACTATTGGTGCCAGCTTTGCCCTCAGTGAACTTTGGTCCCACATCACTATTTGCATTCTGGAATTTTTTGAAGTACAAATTAAGCACTTCTCACAAGCATCCTATCCCTCAATTTGGGTGCAGCCATGGACTCACAATGTATCATCCATGTTAGCTTAACAAATGTATTCAAAGTGTGTGTGTGTTTTTTACCTTCTTATCCACGTGTAAGTCAATGACTCGATGTGATCTGCTGGATTTTCTTACACTTAACTGGCAGAATGAACTGAAGTCAGTGCACTGATAATAGGTTCAGTTGTAATGTTTACATTGTGAACTGTCTTGAACTCTTGTGGTTTAGTGCTATATAAATAAATGAGGTAGTCACCTGAAATGGTTTTCCAACAGTCTTGGATGACTACCTCTTGAAGCTCATCAAGAGAAAGCCAAGAGTGTGTAAAGCAGCAATCAGAGCAAAGGGTGGCTATTCTGAGGAAAATAGAATATAAAACATGTTTTCAGTTATTTCACCTTTTTTGACTAAGTACACAACTCCTCATGTTTTCATAGTTTTGATGCCTTCAGTGAGTCTACCAATTGTTCATGAAGATAAAGACAACACATTGAATGAGAAGCTTTTGGCCTGGACTGTATGTATGGATAGAATGTCACTCAGGGTTTTCAAACTTGAATTTTTGACTCAGGAAGCCATTTAGCAGATGTTTGAAATTGGTTGTGACACCAGTGTCACCACGGCTCCGTAGGGTTAATTAAACTCTGTTTCACAGGAGATTACACTGATTTCTACTCATCCAGAGATCACGCGACAAATGTTGGCACCATGTTCCGAGGGAAGGAGAACGCTTTGATGCCAAACTGGTACAAGCCCTAGCATCAGCACACTTAGCTCCCGTAGCTCCAGAAAGGACGAACAAAACACTCAGTGAGAGTATTTTTAAGAAAGCGCTCCTCTGGTGCATCATGGGAAAAGCTAGCTCACAATTGTAGACACACATTAAAATGTTATTTAAAAGATGTTTTTATCCTTCTGCTGTTATTGTGCGTTTCTATTTGAAGAAGTGCCCCGCAGGTTTGCAGTGTGTTTGGTCCTGTGGTGTTGAATGGTTGGATGTGTTTTGCAGGTTGAGACTTCCAGTGGGATACCACGGCAGAGCGTCATCGGTTGTAGTTTCAGGAACCCCCATTCGCCGCCCAAGGGGCCAGATGAGACCAGATCAGAGTAAAACTTTTGCTGAATTCACAGTTTACAGCTCGTCGTTACACATCGTGTATAAGTAAATGTTTGATGGTGTACCTGAATTCCAGTGGCTGTGTTCAGTACCCCTCTCTTGTTAAACCTATCAGGCAAAAAGAGATTACAGCCATACTCTGACTTTGTATGAATACAAATTAAACCTACAGCTATGTAAGAGACCAGTGAAACAGTCGAAGTAAAAGCTGTCTCTGTGTGTTTTGTCTCAGCAAAGCCTCCGGTCTTCGGCCCTTCCAAGCAGCTGGACATCGAGCTAGAGATGGTAATTACTGTACAGTTGTGAGCCACGCTTTAAAACCTTTCACTGTTAACTTTCTCTACTGTACTTCAGTCTGCGGCAGTGCCGTTGCACCCAAAATGCGTAGGGCACCGAGCGGCCAGGGGGGCACCAAGCAATCAGGCTTATGAAAAAAACCCAGATTTTATTAATTATAATATTAGCTACTGGACAGCATGCACACAAACACCTCAGTGTTGTTTCAGTGCATGTGCAGGTCATTTATCAATTATGAGCGTCCACTGCCAATAAAAGGACGCTATTGTGGAGAAAGCCGCAGGCAGGAGTATTAAAGGGGATTGCCATGATGAAGGACTTCCAGGATCGTTAACGCCAGGCGTGGTGAGATCAATCCTTTTTTCATTCGGTGGTACACCACTTTTTTTTGTAAAGCAATCACATTTTTGTAGCCTGGCCTGCCAGACTCGCCCTCTGTCTATTCTACACAGAGGACGAGTCTGGATACTCAGCGGCAGAGAGCACTTCATAACTGATCTCCTTCCAAAACTTCTCAAACCCGACAGCTTCCCAGATGGATTGAAAGTGGACCGAGCACACCGGATAGGCACACAATCCTCACCGATCGCCAAAATGCATCAGAAACTGAGGGAGGCAGGAATAAAACATAGTCTTTTTTTCCCCTGCACGTCTGATCCTCACCTTCAGGACCTAGCAGAAAATATGTCTAAAACCCACTGCTGCCGAGACATTCATAGACAGGTACTGCTGTGAATACACAGCAGACCTGAGCCCCTTCTGCGGATGGTTTTCGGTTGGTTCCAATGGCTTAGCACAAGCTCAGCCTTCTATTTCCTCACGTAGAATAATTACTGTTCTCAGCCTAATTTAGCTCAACTGTAAGTTAAAGGACGTACGAGGGTGGACGGGGCTGCTCTGACAGCCCATCGTTATGTGGCACCTTACTACCGGGTAGGCAGGCTACGGTATATGACCAAAGAATATAAAATTCCTCCCACGGGTTACACCAGGTAAAGTTGAGAGTGACTGCTAAAAACCAAAGAAATCAGCTGGTTAGCCACCACACCAGGGTTTATTCAGAAAATAGCTAACTAAAAAGTCACTAAAAAGCTTTAAGCCAGTCAAAGTAAAACCAGTTGCCAGAACTAGGGCTGGAGAGAGTCTGCAGCCTTATCTGGGCGCTGTGGGGCAAGTTTCTCTTCTGCAGAACCGTCCTCCTTGGTCCTCTGGCCCTGTCACCACCGCCTCCTTCAGGGTTCTTTTCCGCCGCACTGCCGTTCTCCTCATTCGCCTGCCTTGTGCAGGTCAATCACTGGCTCGGACGTCCTTCCGCGCCACACCGTCGTCCTCCGTCGCGGGCTGCACCTGCCAGTGAATTTAGACGGCAGTCACTGCTCAATCACATACCGGCGGGTCACACCTTGTCACAGACTGCTACTCACACGCCAGGGCAGAGGCATACTCTGCCTGCATCTTCATGGAGCTTCGTTACAGACAATCGGTGTCCTTCCACCCGGCAACTCTCCACTCTGCCGTCGTCTCCAAAGAAGAACAAACTCCTAATCTTCCACTGGTGCAGATAATTGCCCAGGTGGGATGCCATCTGTCTGAGCTTGTCAGAATAAAAGCACACATCCACCCAGCTTCCCGGATTTTTCAGAATAAAAGCACACATGCAATAAAAACTAAATAAAAAGAATACACACTAAACTACACCACACTGGAAGGAAAAACACAATAAAACCCAACTTTGCCCGTATGACATCCCCCACTTCTTGACGTCGTCAGTCCCTGCGACGTGAACAATTCAGTCACCATACCTGTCTGGTGGTTTGCCAAAACTAGGCCGAGCGGAGCGTTGCACCGCTTCCTGTGGTCCATCTTGCGGAGGCCCAGGTGGAGCCATAGGAATAAACCCATAGAACAACGGTTCCGGCAACTTTAAAGTCTCTAGAAGCCCTTGAAAGTTTGCTTCAGGCTCTGCCACTGGTGGCAAAATGTCTACAGGGGGTGCGCTACCCAACTTTAATGCATTCCTAAGCATCGTCTGCTGGCGACCACCCTTTTCAAGTTGCACCCGATACACCACCCCCGTCTCTCCCACCTTGTCCGAAATCACATTGGGGTCATTGCTCCACCATGTACACAGTTTCCCTCTGCCCTGCCTGTTTCTCTCCCGCACCCACACTCGTTCTCCTGGCAGCAAGGGCATGGCCTTGGCCTTCTTATCATAGTACTGTTTCAACTGAGAAACTGCCTCACTCATCTTTCGCCTCGCTATACTGTAAGCGGTTGGTTGGTCACTATTGGTTGCCGTAATCTACCGTCCTTCCAAAATGAACCAAAACTTTCTTTCAGATTTCAGTCATTTTCTCACTCAGCTCTCCTCCATCTGTTCTCCTCCTAGGGGATTTCAACATTCATGTCGACTCTCCTAAATCTCAGCTCACAGCCGACTTCCTGGACATTTTAAACTGCTTCAACCTGACTCAACACATAAACTCCCTCACACACAGACATGGTCACACTATGGACCTAGTTTGTACTACACACTCCCTGACCATCCAAAACCTCTCATTAACTGACTTAACCATTTCTAACCACATGGCCATTACCATCGATCTGAACCTACCCATCTCCTGGCCCAAACAAAAACGTACAATAACCATTCGTAATCTTAAGTCTCTTCCCTCAGCCGCTTTCTCATCCTGCTTATCGGACATCATCTCCAGTTTCTCTCCCCCTGCTGACGCTACACCTTCTGAACTTGTCGATCACTACAACAATAGTCTCTCCACCTTCCTAAATCCCCACCCCCCACCCCCCCACCCCCAGAACACTAACTGTGCCCTTTGCTCAGTCTGCTCCCTGGTATACCCCGGAACTCCATGCTCTGAAGAAAAAGCAACGACAACTGGAACGCCTTTCTAAGAAAATTGGTCTCACTGTCCATAGCCAAATCTACAAACACCACGATGTACAAAACAGCTTGCAATATTGCCCGTTCCAAGTTCTAGTCTGACACAATCCAATCCAATTCATCAAACCCCCGCACCTTCTTTTCCATTTTCAGCAAACTATCCCAACCTAAGGACAACATTTCAACCACCTTCACATCACACAAATACAACAATTTCTTGACGCATTCCCATTCAAAAATCGCATCAGTTCACAGTCAGATCGCTTCCTCTCTGTCTACTGGCTCCACCGCGGAACCCAAACTTAACCCACCACTTACCTATTACTTCTCCACCTTCACAGCTCTCACCCCAACTGACTAAGCCAAGCTCCTCTCATCCATGAAATTTACCACCTGTAATTCAGACCCAATCCCCTCTCCCCTCCTCAAAACCTGTCTTCCCTTTCTCTCCCCTCTCATTATCAGTATCATAGACACCTCCCTAACCACTGGATCTGCCCCACCTTCACTCAAAATCGACTCCATTACTCCCATTCTGAAAAAACCCGGTCTGAACCCAGACTCTGTGGATAGTTTCAGGCCCATCTCTAACCTCCCACTACTCTCAAAGCTCCTGGAACCCACGGTGTTCCACAGGGCTCTGTGCTGGGGCCACTCCTCTTCATCCTTTACATGCTCCCCCTTGGTCATATCATACGCCAACACGGTCTCCACTTTTATTGATACGCTGATGACACACAACTCTACATCTCTAGCAAATCAATCACCCCAGTCATTCTTTTCACGATCTCAGGATGCCTCTCTGACATAAAACATTGGATGGACACCAACTTCCTCAAGTTGAACTTCTCCAAAACAGAACTCATTATAACTGGTCCCAAATCTCTCCTACCCTCAGTTCAAAATATTTTCCTACAAATTGATGGTCTCACAGTGACTCTCTCCTCTTCAGTCCGTAATCTCGGCGTCATCTTTGACTCCTCTCTTTCCTTCAAGTCCCACATCAACAACATCACCAGGGTATCATTCTTCCACCTCCGCAACAATGCTTGTCTCCGTCCATCCCTCACTGACTCCACTGCCCAAACACTCATCTTTGCCTTCATAACCTTTAGACTGGACTATTGCAACAGCATTCATTACGGACTTCCTTCCTCAGCCCTAATAAAACTTCAATACATCCAAAACTCAGCAGCACGTTTACTCACCCACACTCGCTCCAGGGACCACATAATTCCAGTACTCAATCAACTTCACTGGCTCCCAGTTTCATACCGGATCAATTACAAATTGCTCCTCATCACTCACAAATGCCTCAATAACCTTGCACCATCCTATCTGACGGAACTTCTCAATCATCATTCTCCTTCCCGGCACCTCCTTTCTGCTGACTCCAACCTCCTTTCCCCTCTCAAAACAAAACATGGCACCATGGGGGATCAAGCCTTTGCAGCCGCTGCCCCGACACTTTGGAACTCTCTCCCACTAAACATCAGGAATGCCGTCTCTCTTTCTTCTTTTAAGCCACTGCTTAAAACCCACATCTTTAAATTGGCCTTCTCTTAAGATCAACCCAGCCTCCCCCAGCCTGTTTACTATGTTTCATTTTGTTTTTAAAAGCAGCTGCTTTACAAAGCAGCTGAAAACTCAAGATTGGAATAAGATTTACAAAAGCTGCTTCTGTTAAAGAGGTCTAGGAAAGTTTATCATTCATTTCCATCTTTTGGCCATGTATCATTTCAGAAAGGGGCTGGATTTTTTCAGCATAATGAGGAATGTGAGGCAAGAGTCGGCATCATCAGAGGCAACCAAAACGTCATCCATGTAAACAAGAATCTGTGAATTTGCTGAACATTGAAAATCAGCGAGACAGTTAGTGATTGCTTCAGTGAAAATAGTGGGGCTATCAGCGAACCCTTGCGGTAGACAGTTGAAAGTATATTTTGAGTTTTTGTAGGTGAAAGCAAACCAAAATGGCGAGTCAGGATGAACAGGAACACTGAAAAAGGCATTGCTCAGATCAATCACAGAAAAGTACTTCCTGGAAGGCCTGAGTGAATTTAACATTGTGTGTGGATCAGGCACA